CCAATATATATTACCTCAGAGCATGTGTTGTAAGAGGATTTATGTCTGAGTAAGATATTTGAATAACAAAGAGAGCAGTTCATTCAGTTTACCATATGCCTTTAGACATGCATACTTCTCACAACCTCGCACCCTTCACATGCTGCACAAGGAATCAAGGGTGCCAGAAGCTAGCGATTGTTGTGGGTACAGATGATACTTCATCAGTGTCTTTGTGGTCACATTTTATTGGTGGCAAGAACAATGCCATTTCCATCCTGAAAAGTTACATAATCAAAAACAGGACAGCTTGTTTGTGATTCCATGGCAGTGTAAAATTTTTTTTATCAGGTGAGAGTTTGAATTGCAGGATTAAAAAAATGGAAATCCTTATATTTATGTATATCATTTATTAGGTATTACATAATGGTTGTTTGTGCATTATGCAACACTGTGACCAAAATTGAAACTTTTGGTAGGAAGAGGAAAGCCTTTTACAGAGAACGATGTAAATTTCAAATGAACTACAGAGGAGAGTTGACATTAAAAGTTGGCTTTATAGCAGAATACAGCTTCTGCTATATTGCCTCACCTCCCCATACTTTCAAAGAACTACATTCGCAGTTGAACCTTTGGCATTTATCATGTCATATGAGCAAACCTGTATACTTGTAAAACCTCTCAGAATCTGACATTGATATCTAAATCCATCATAAGTATGAGTTTTTGTTACAGGTTGATTAGCTCATGGAATATGGGAGACCAGAACCTTACAAGAGAGTAAGCAAGGAATTGATGATTTTCTGAAAAAGAAAAGTATATTTCATTTTTTTGCTTTACTTTTTGGGAAGGAGTAAGCAGGAACAGCCTTAATGGACCAAATGATCCTTTGTTGTCCATATTTTTTTTTGTAATCTGTTATGGATAAAATTCCAGTTACACATATCACAGGTCTAGTTTTTGTGGTTCTTTCATCATATAGCATCATGTTGTTACCCAATGTGTGTCACTTGGGGATAAGATTAAGGAAATGCTGTGCTCTTGTTGCATCTGTTCTATGTTACATTGGCTTTCATCATCACTAAGATGCATCCCTGCCACTTCTAACAACAGTGTGCACTTTATGCAGCTGATCAGATCTGGTATACTATTGATGACAATGATACATATGTTGCAGATAACTAAGCTATGATATTGCAGATTCACTTGAGTGCAGCCCCCCAGTGTCCCAGCGGCATGTCTCCAGACTTACAATGCTAGAAATTGGGTTTTGATACTCTTTGTGGGCAGAGCACAGATAGCTTATTGTGTAGCTTTGTGCTTAACTACAAACAAACAATTGTTTGAGTGCAAATATGTTTTCAAATAAAAATGAATAAAAACCCTATAACCAGAGTGCTTTTAAAAGCACTCTGGTTATAGGGTTTTTATTCA